ATTTTCTTTAAAAGGGCGGAATTTTCAACTTTTGCACATTTTTTTCAAATTTGTTTCTTTCTTCTCTGCTCGGATTTGTTACGTAACGCTCAGCTTGACCCTTCTCCCCTCTTATAACGCACGTTAACGCTGGCTCAACCCCCCTCCCCCCTAAGTGCGTCACGCAATACTTGAACGGCAGTTGCGTAGCGTGTTTTGCGATGGATCGATTGATCGGCCATTTAAACCCATGGAAAAGTATCGATTGACAGGGTGTTTGTAGCGAACACCTTAATAATCGATTATTTACCACAGCTTCAAAAAGGGAAATATCGATAGATCGCAAAGCACGCCACGCCACTGTTGAACGGCCCCTTAGTCCTACCTAGAGTCCCTTTATACTGAGAGTCCAGACAACACCCCTCATGGAGTCACAAACGGGAATAAAGATTACACAAATTGAACGTTTTTCGTAATCTTTGATCGGCTCATTCTTAAATTCCTGTCTCCGTTCCTTCTCTCATTCCGTTTGTTCCTTGTCGAACCCGAAATTCCTCGGTCCATTCCAGATTATAATCTTTGCAATTGGTGAAAATGTAATCTTTATTCCCGTTTGTGACACTGTGAAGGCCTAAAATCCGGTTAACCAATCAGAAATGGATTCGCATTGTCTCGACTCCCAGTATAAAGGGACTCTAGTCCTACCACAATATAACGGTTGTTGGGCGATTCTTTTGCAGACGGAGACGCCAACTGGTGCTATCAGTGCCTTCTCTGCGGGGCGGAGTACCCGTCCCAGGATGACGTCACGGGGCACATCACGACGCGGCACAACTTCTCCCGCTTCTCGCAGCAGCTCAACTCCCTGTACTCCAAGTTCGACAGGAACCGGCTCTCCGGGGCCTACCGGTGTCCCCTCTGCAACGCCGACTTCGCCATCGAGCTCTCGCTCAAGAAGCACATGGTCTCCCACGCCGAGGACACCCGCTGCCACATCTGCCACAAGACCTTCGTCAAGAACGGCTGGCTCATGAAGCACCTCAAGAACGCGCACAATATCCCCCTCGACATCCAATACTAAACCAATACGACCAAAGAAGTTCCAATTACTCCTCTCCAAACACCGAAAATAAAATATGAAACACCAATATCTTTATGATCAGTTGAAAAAGCTCAAACTTTCATATTTTATTATTCACTGAGAAAAAAAGTTCGGTAAATCCGAACTAGTTTGGTTCATATGGAACCAAGATTTTGTTCGGTACACACGACCGAATTATTTGGTCTGCTCAGCCGAACTTTTCGGTCCACTGAACCGAGCTGTAATTGTTCGGTTGCACAAACCGAACAATTCGGTTGAACAGACCGAATAATTCGGTTGTGTGTACCGAACAAAATCGTGGTTCCCTATGATCCAGACTAGTTCGGATTTAACGAACTTTCTTTCTCAGTGTTAATAGTTAAATAAATAACACTAAGATGCAATTTTAGAATTGACTAATATAATCTTACTCATGTACTCATGTGCTAAGAGAGAACGCCGTATGAACATTCGAAAGTTGCCAAATCTCCGCTAATAAAACATGTATTTTTGAAGAAAGTTGTGCACGTTTTCCCTTGCAAATTTCAGATATTTTAGATTAAATTGCGAACAAAATCATCTGAAAAATTGGAGGCAAAATATTTAGAATGCTCCTAAAAAATGTGTTTTTTATTAATGGAAATATGGCAACGCCTGAATGCTCATACGGCGTTTTTCCTTAGCACGGCAGAGTAGAGGGGCTCGGAGGACAAGGCGCATAAGTGAAACTACCAGACCACGTACCTCGGTTTGCGATGTTGCAGACTTCTTGCCATACTTTAATTTTTAAATAGGGAAGTACTTAACGTCTATTCTTGAAAGCTTTCGTTATTATTCTTCTCAGCGCGAAAAAAATTGCGTGAAAACTTCGAGGAATGATATTGCATTGTTCTCCTCCAATAGAGAGAAAAAATGAGAGCTGAGATTTTTAGACACCGCAAACGAGATACGTTGTCTGGTAGTTTCACCATCGACATGCGTCCTTTTGAAAGCCAACTGGACGTATTTCTGTTAAACGGAACTAAGCGCCAATTTGAGTTCCTTTTGAGGATTTTAGAATCCCGGATAGCGCTTTCTGTCAAACGGACCTAAGCGCCATGGAAAAGAATTGCGCGTTCCGCAACACCCGCCAATCCATGCCCCCCTCTCTCCTCCTCCCCCTGCATGTGGTGCTTAGTTCCGTCTGATAGAAATACGACCAACTGTGCGTATGAGTCCAGGCATGAACGTGTGTATAGTATGGACTATTTACTTTAATCGTAATGGGCTATGCTTTAATATACTGTTAGTATATATTGGGTTGCTGCCCAGACCAATATTTGAGGATGTTCACCAATAGAGTTGTCGTGTGCGGAGTCAGGCCTCACAATTAATTGTATAGTGCCAGATAAAATGGAGACCTCAGAAGTAACTCCGAAAATAACAATGCAGATGTATACTTTCTGAGTATGAAACAAACCCACCATTCCCGTCATTGATGCTACTTGTTTTTCTTCGCAAAGCTAATGCTCTTACCGGAGACGGGCAAATTACGAGAATCAAAATGTTTTCGAAAATGAGCATCAGCGCTAGATCTTTTAAACAAGCGTTCGCCTTATTTTAAATAGTTATGTATTATATTTCATAGAAATTTATTTTAGCCTAATTTTATGTAAATTGCACAATCTCTTTATTTCTGTTATTTTTTCTTTTAGAACATTGCGTTGTGAACTTAATTATTTTCACAAACTGATTGCATTTATTTTCAAGTACCTGTTATATGTTACAATATCTTTAATCTCTTCGTAAATACAGTATTGAATATGTAAAGTTATCTGCCATGTGTTCAAAGAATTTCATTTATTTTAGAAAATGCAAGGCCATGAGAAGTACGATGGAATTTTTCTACGNGGGGGGGGGGGGGCTATTCCAGATTCTTTCTAATTTTTGGGTGGCAAGAAGCAAGTGCCAGAATTTCGGCAGCATGATGCTTCAGTAAATGAGGAGCATTCCGGAAAAGGGGTACATACGCGTATGTGCTCTTTTTCCGGAAATGGCAGAAACGGATTCCTCGCATCCTAATGTACCAATGTCCCGAGTTTCAGCTTAATTGATCAATTTTTGGAGCTAAGAGACCAAGTTTTGTGAGGCTAAGTCAGGCGTGTTTCATCTATTTGCTCCTGGGTACGGTCGCCGCGACGCCACGTTGAGGAGATAGCGCGCAGGGCGCAGGCAGGCAGGTGATGGGTACTGATATAAGTAAGGACCCCTCATTACAGATGCATCGCACTGATTATGCTAATCAATGCACGTTCGCGATCGAATTTATGATTTATTTTCGTTTAGAAACTCGTTAAAGTCTTGAAAATTTAGCGTTGAAAGCCAAAACCTATAACCACCGGTCCATTTCCGAAAAAAGGGCACATAACGGAAAATTTTAAAAAATTCCTCCCACAACACTGAAAGAAGTGTAAGTTTTACCAATGGTCGCTATTTATTCTAGGGTGTATGAACGTTGATATAAGTGCCCCAGTTCCGATGTATGTCATCATCAGTGCCCAGAAAGTAGGAATGAAAACTTCAAATGCGTTTTTCTCACAACTTGTTTTTTCGGTATGTGCCCTTTTTCCGGAAAGCTCCTCAATTGTTATTTAACAAATGGGTGGTTTTTATACGAGGATTAAAAATAAACAAGTGGTACGGAATATAACAAAATAATATGAACTATGCAAAACGCTAATCCGGGTATCGGAACTCGGCTGTTTTTGAAAACGCCTTCAAATGCGGCGTGATACCTCACGCATTCCGGAGAGTTCAAATAGTCGTATCATTGCGCCGTAAGAATGTGACGGAAGATTACAATTGAAATAGTCTTCATGTTTGCTGGCCTTTTCGATTTCCGTTCACATTTTTGCAGTCATGAATGCATAGCTTAAGTGCGCTTCAGCTGGAATTGCATTTTGCAAATGGGTGGTTTTTATACGAGGATTAAGAATCAACAAGTGGTACGGAATATAACAAAATAGTATGAACTATGCAAAACGCTAATCCGGGTATCGGAACTCGGCTGTTTTTGAAAACGCCTTCAAATGCGGCGTGATACCTCACGCATTCCGGAGAGTTCAAATAGTCGTATCATTGCGCCGTAAGAATGTGACGGAAGATTACACTTGAAATAGTCTTCATGCACGCTGGCCTTTTCGATTTCCGTTCACATTTTTGCAGTCATGAATTTAAGTGCGCTTCAGCTGGAATTGCATTTAGCAAATGGGTGGTTTTTATACGAGGATTAAGAATCAACAAGTGGTACGGAATATAACAAAATAATATGAACTATGCAAAACGATAATCCGGGTATTGGAACTTGGCTGTTTTTGAAAACGCCTTCAAACGCGACGTGATACCTCACGCATTCCGGAGAGTTCAAATAGTCGTATCATTGCGCCGTAAGAATGTGACGGAAGATTACAATTGAAATAGCCTTCGTGCACGCTGGCCTTTTCGATTTCCGTTCACATTTTTGCAGTCATGAATGCATAGCTTAAGTGCGCTTCAGCTGGAATTGCATTTAGCAAATGGGTGGTTTTTATACGAGGATTAAGAATAAGCAAGTGGTACGGAATATAACAAAATAATATGAACTATGGAAAACGATAATCCGGGTATCGGAACTTGGCTGTTTTTGAAAACGCCTTCAAATGCGGCGTGATACCTTACGCATTCCGGAGAGTTCAAATAGTTGTATCATTGCGCCGTACGAATGTGACGGAAAATTAAAATGGAAATAGCCTCCATGAATGGTGGGCTTGTCGATTTCCTTCGACATTTTTGCAGTCGTGACTCGTGAATGCATAGCTGAATTGCGCTCCAGCTAGAATATGTGGACCACATTTTTTAATACGGAAGTACTATTTACCACTACATATAGACACTGGAAAAAAGTAGCTTGGATCTAGAGTTCAGACTCTTAATAACATTGAAAAGAAAAAATACTCTTGATTCAATCGGATTTTTCCTTGAATCGAAGAGGCAAGCCTCTTGATTTAAGCGGATTTCTTTTTGATTCAAGCAAAAATCCGATTGAATCAAGAGTATTTTTTCTTGTCAATGTTTTCAAGAGTCTGGACTCTAGATCCAAGCGATTTTTTTCTTTCCAGTGGACGATGGAACTCCCAGACCAGGTATCTCAGTTGCGGCGTTGCAGACTTCCTCTCATAATTTTTTTTAAATGGAAAATTACTCAACGACAATTCTTTAAAACGACCGTGATTTTTCTCCGTGAGATAAAAACTCTGTGAGTATTTCAAGGAAAGATGTTTATTTGGCCCCCTTAACAAAAAATAATACGTATAAGAGCGTTTATTTTAAAACAAGTTAAACGAGCCACATGGTTTGAGAGCTTCACCGCCGATTTGTGCCATTATAAAATGCACTAAAACAATTCATTTACTTACAAGGATGTACGTGTGTGTTCTCCAAAAATTTGCCGATCTTCGCATGTGGTCAGAAGGAGAATCAGTGGAATTTTCAGATAGAAATGCCCATGTTTCTCTCGGCAAAAATGCAATTTGCGAGGGAAAATTTGGCTTTATTCTGCCGTGCTACAGAAGAACGCTGTATGAACATTCGAGAGTTGCTAAATTTCCTTCCATAAAGTGTTTATTTTTGAAGAAAGGTATGAACATTTTACCTAGAAATTGTCAGGAACTTAAGGTGAAATTCCGAACAATATTATCTGAACAATTGGAGGAAAAATATTCATAAGTTAACCGGGAAATTCGTGTTTTATCAAATTTGGCAACGCCTGAAGGTTCATACGGCGTTTTTCCTCAGCACGGCAGTATTGAAATGTTCATTCTACGTTCTTTCGTGAAGAAAATGGTTCAATGGTGGAATAGGTGGTGGTGGAAATGGTTTCGTGAGAAACTACTAACGGACGTGCGTGCTTTTCTAGAGGATGAATCAAAATGGTGCTACGAGTGCATGTTGTGCGGAGTGCAGTCCTACGTCCTGGAAGAAATGACGGCGCACATCACGGAACGTCACTGTCTCTCCACGCAACTGGACAATTTCTACTTAAAATTCGACAGAAATCTCAGCCCGCACAATTACAATTGCTTCTTATGCTCGGCCTCGTTCGCGATGTATTCCTCGCGGAAGATGCACTTGCGCTCTCACTCTGACGTCACCGTCTGCCCAATATGCAAGCATGACTTCCTCACCAATGGTCGACTTCTCAAACATATCGAGGATTGGCATAGTCTCCCCGTTGATCCAGATGATCTTACCAAACACCGGAATTAGTCTACTGAAAAAAACACTCCGGGCGTGGAAGTCGTACTTACGGGCTATATAGACTTACCGTACTGTCCGGTCCGCGTTCCGGGCTCCGAGGCCGAAAGTTCCGAGAGTAGTACCCGGAGCAATTGGAGCTACGGCTCCAGCACTCGGAACTTTCGGCCTCCGAGCCCGGAAAGAACGCTACGTCTATACAGCCCGTAACTTTTTTTCAGTGTTTTTTAAAACGGTTTCTGGTAGGAGAGAGCAAGTTGAAATTTTCGAATTCTTTTTTATTGAATTTTCGGCCTTCCCGAGGTTTTTTTTTGCATTTTTGTAGCCATGTTTGTTTTGTTTTGTCTGTTTGTTTTTGTTTGTTTTTTCGGCTTTAATTTTAGTTTTGCCCTTAAAAAAATCCTATCAAGCCTAGGCCGAAAAGAAAGGCCAGGCGTCCGATTCGCATCATTCCAGTTACTTTTATCTAGTTAATCACTTTTCATGGATAGTAAAATGGGGACGGAGGATTGTTAAGAAGTGAGGATTGAATTCTTTGCATTGTTCTATGTTTAGCTTCAAATAATAAATGTTATTAATATCAGACTCGGCGGTTTTTCTTTTTATCATGATGAAAGTTCCCTTCACTGCTGACCAACGCATTTTTTTTTTTTTTTTTTTTTTTTTTTTTTTTTTTATTTTTTTTTTATTTAGGAATATTTGAACTCCGCTCAGCAGAAAGGAACCGAGCCACGTCAGCTATTGCCAAAATCAATCGGGCAATTTAAATTTTCATACAAGAGAACGTTTGTGCGGATGTTTTTGAAAATTTGAAGGAATTCGCCTGTTACGATGCAGAAAATTCTCTGAAATTTGCAAAAAAATCCGCTCAACCGTTTTCGTCATTTTTTAAATTGCCTACTTAAACTTGGCAATAGCTTACGTAGCTTGGTCCTTTTCTACCTAACGCGGTCCATTTGACACTATTTACCAACCTTTCTCGACATGAAAAAAAAGAACTTGATCTGAGAAGAATCTAGACACCAGACGTCCCTGAAAGTATTGAGAGATCATTGGCAGCTATTTCTCTGTAAAATTAGAACTTAAAGTATAAAAATTTTTGTTAAACTCGATCAAATTAATGTTTTTTTTTCTTTCTCTCTTTTTCGGTGAGTTGCAGAATTTTCTTGAAGTCGCTGCTGGTATTCATTTACTCGCGCAGCGAAACGCTGCCCAAATAAATATTCCACTTAAGACATCATACAATTTTTATGAAAGTATGAAAGGGTTGAAAGGCTCTATTTAACCCAATAACTTTTATGTTTCAGGTATCAGAAAAGGTTGGAAGAATCAGTTCATTTTTCGAAACTCCAAGGGGAAGTTCGAGTGCAGCATTTGCCACGCCGCCTACAAAAGGAAAGACACGGTGATCGGACACATGAAATGTCACACCGGCGAAACTCTGTGCACCATCTGCAATAAAAACTACTCGAATAAACAAAATCTCCAAATGCACCAGTATCTCGTGCACAAAATGAAGGTGCCATAGCATGAGGCACCTCAGAATGTTGACATCCAACATTCTGTTTTCGGCTCGTGAATGCTCTGTCTATAAAATAGACAAAGCCTTTAACTTAATCAAACTTAACATTGTTGCAATTAACAAGGTGTAAATTCTAAAAATAAATAAGTTGACTCGGCGTTATTCTGCATAACATAGCGCGAAGCAAAAAGCATAGGCGAACATGCTGAAACGAAAATATTAAAACTATTAAAAACCCAATGAGTGATATCAAAAGAACGGCAAAAAACACCTCAGAAATAATAAAATGATTCAACACCCTTACATTGTAAATAAGTTGATAACAGCGACAGTGCCAAATTTTTTCAATATATTTAGTATGCAAGGTAAGGCAATGCCAATTTTTTATTTATGTTTAATTTAATCATCTATCAATCAAGTTACTAACTGAAGCAATCGGATTGAGTAACGGTTGTTCGATGCTCCTTTGTTTACGTGCCATAAAAACGGTTTCAGAATTTCTTAAAGTGGATCTTCAGGACTCAGAAGATCAATTCTATAATTGATTCATCAATTCACAATGGAATTTCTTAAAAATTTCCGAGTATTGCCTTACGATGTAGTGCGGCAGTTATTATTTTGTACACAAAACTTAACCAAGAAACACGATGAAGTAAGTCCGAAAGTGCGTCCCAAATGAGTATCGCAAGCAGAAAGGCAAAATAGCTTGCGACATTCACTCGGGAGTTCGGAAGGTACTCTCGGATTATAATTTGAACGTATCTCTGCCAAGCGGAACTATATACATTAAGACATGAACCCTGAGACCCATAAGAATATATGAATAACAAGACTCACGTCATAATGCACATGGTTCACTTTTGCAGAAATACGTCCATTTGAATGCTTTCCTGGTCAAATTTTTTGAACAAATTCCTAACGCAGCGTATTTATGGTGCTTGGAAATTCTCAAGAAATTTCTTAAATTCAGAAATTATCAATTGATTGATCGATAATCAAAATTCGAAATCGTTATTTTAAGTGCTGGAAAACGGCCCTAAGATTAAAAGATGAGACCTATGGTTTCAATTAAGTATTTTCATTTCTCTCTTAAGATATTGAGTGATTTTTAGCCGTCATTTTACTTACTGGCTCTTCTACGTCATGCGAATTTTCATGGCATGAGGATATGTACCAATTACCTAATGAAAAAACAGAATCTATACATGCAAAAATATTTATTTACAAATGTATGTACCTCTTTTTTCATTCATTTCTTTCTTATTACCTCATTAGATAATTCGGAGAAATATAATCAATGTATATAATATTTACATTATAAACGCAATAGCGGACTGATTATAAAAGGAACATTCACAGAAGCTAGTATCATAACATGGGTAGAACGAAGAATTTTCAATACAACAGCTTTTGCACGCTTTTGTAATTTTAACTTCTCTCATAATCTAAATTTATTCGCGCGAGAAAGAGACGAATTTTTATCTTGGCAATAATTTTGCACAAAGTAAATTGTAAAGTCCTTGTTTCATCCACGATGTAAATCTAAGTCCGTAGTTCTGCGCAAGTGAATGAATCGTCAATCAAATGAAGCTAGTCTGTACTAATACTTTCGCTTAAAGTAATAAGGTTGTTCATAAATTTTATTTCGCATTAGTTTTGCAGTTGTCTATGCGTTATTTGCATATTCCTAAAACTGGACACAAATTGGACTGCATTTTGCAATTTGGAACTATAAATTCTGGCCCAGTTTAAAGAAAACGTATGTGCCATTAGTTTCCCCATGCATATAAGTGTTTTTTCAGATGAGCCAGACTTTACAGATCCAAATTGCAAAATGTAGTCCAATTAATTGTGATACGTACGTGAATTCTCATTTTTCATTCCATTGCCACAACATTCGATAAAGTGCCATGGTATCTCGCATCAAATATGTTTAAGACAGTATTAAGAATGTACCATACATGTAATGTAATATACTAATTATGTAGTAACGTTGAGTTTATTCTACGAAAAAAAATGTACAAAGACCTACAAATTTTATTTATTTCCAATGGTTTTTATTGTAATATGCTAATAGTTATCAATACTTTTCATCGGTAAGAATTGGATCGTGATAAGTAGAAAGGAACCAAGCCCCATAAGTTATCGCCATTTTTAACCGGATCATGTAATTTTTTACAAGAGAACGGTTGTGCACATTCCATTTAAATTTAAGGAATTTGCTTCCTATCATGCAGAAAGTTTACTGCACAAAAATCCGCACAGCCGTTTTCATGTAAAGCATTAAACTGTCCAATACATTTTGGCAAAAGCTTATGCGACTTGGTTCCTTTCTGCTTAACGCGGTCCAACTACCGTCCCTCCACGAGGAAGCACTGCTTGTCCTACTTCAACGCTCTACAAACTATTTTTTACGTGCTCTGTGCAGTAGAGTGTAATGATACTCCTAATCATGGTAATGAAATAGAGTGTTTTCTTATTTAATAATGCATGACTTGCTGACGTTGAGTAGTGGAGTTAGAACACTCGATCGACTCAAATCAAAATAAAGTATTTGTTATATTCAGTAAAATTGTGTACATTTAATCGGAATCTAATAATATTTATTTAGTCATGCTCTGTACATACTAATAAATTTATTTTCCTGTTTGTTTACTAAATCATCATCTGTCATTTCAAAAATGTCTCTATTCACGTGGAGCCAATTTGAGTCACTTGTGGGGGGGGGGGGTTGTTCAACTTTTTTAGGTTGAAAATAATATTCTATCGTGCTTTAAAGGTCGGAGCGTGATTCTTTTCTTTTGTCGTCCGGTGTGCAGGCTCAATTCTAACATGGAAAAATGTAATTCAATTTTCAGACTCTCCTTCAAGAAATGAGCAGCGGAAATTTGTGTGTAATCTTTGCGGCGCCAGGTACAAAAACAGGCATCACTTGGTATCTCACGCCAAAGCCCACACAGGAGAAACCTTCTGCACCATCTGCCATAAAAACTACTCGAACAAACATAACTACCAAATGCACCTTTTGATGGTTCATAAATTACGGCAGTCGTAATCACAAATCAAAATTAAGCGAATCAACAAATGTGCCACTGAAAATGTATTCGTTTTATTTATATCTGTCCTCTTTTAACTACTTTAATACTCATAAATATGTTTTTTTTTTTTTTCATATTATAGTACGTAAGTTCAAGTGTAATTTATACATTTTGTTTGAAGTGCAGTGAAAACTGCAGTAGCTACTTTTTTGTTATTATTAACTCTCTGTAAGTACTTATAAAACAATTATTTTGTTATTTACTTTTAAAAGTAATTATTCCTTAAACATACACAATACATTCTCACTGAAAGGTCACATGTCATTGTATTAATTTTTCATCAGTTAATGTTCCCACGTTGACGTGCCCTTTTTCTCTCTTTTTTTAAATTTAATAATTCAAAAAACAGATCATTTGTTTACCGTTTGAACTTCTTGTAAAAAATAAAGTAGCCATGCGAGGCTTAGCGTTTCCGGTTGAAGTCCCTTTTAATGTAGAATGTCCGTTGTCTACAATTTAAAGAATCGATTCTCTATCACTACTTGGTAATTTTTTCATGATGGTTGGAAAAACCTAGGAAACTACACGGAACCATACCATATGGACGTATTTCTGCCAAACAGAACTATGTGCATTATGACGTGAGCCCTGTTATGCATTTATATTATTTTGGGTCTCAGGGGCTCTCGTCTCAATGCACATAATTCCGTCTGGTAGAAATACGTCTATATGTTCCACTTCCGTTTTTCACCACGTGGATCTGAAAATGTTTGACAATGAAATCCATATTCCGATGCTAAATGTTTATCATTTTGTTATAGTCCATGTAACTGTGCCTTTGGTTCATGTAAGCGGAAACGCAAACCTCAGTTACACGAACCTACAAGTTCAGTAGGCGCTTTTCGGTGCAGAGGATTAATCCTTGATCGTGTGGCCTGACCTCTTCGGTTGGAAGAACCGAAGACGCAGTCCAACAAACTGTTGTTTCGGCTCACTGAACTGGAAGACTGAACGTTCTTAATTATAAAACGTATTCCACGAAAGTACGGAGTTCGAATAGTTGCGCGCTTGATTCCCCCATTCAACAATGCGAGCACTATACCTACCGTCAAAACTTAGGTAGTTTGACATAGAAGGAAAGCCAAGATTTTCCTTCATTTCTGCGTGAAACTACATCACATACCTACGCCGAAGTAGTGCCTTCAATTTTGTAGATGCAACACGGACTTCCATCATGCACGATTAGTTGTATCTCTGCGCTGTCATCAATGCGCCTCCTATTACTTTGCTCTATTTCCATACTATGTTTGTCTCATTTGTATTTTTAGCGGTGCTTTAAAGACTGTATGAGCAACACAGCCGTAAATAGGAGAGCCGTATTAATCGAGCCTCGTTGCTTAACTTTTCTCACGACCCCTCATTGGCAGCATAAAGCGGAGCTGCGGAACATCGCGAATTCAGCTCGCGCCATCGCGCCTTCAATTTTGCAGATGCAACACATACATCCATCAAGCACGAATAGTTGTATCTCTGCGCCGGAGTAATAATAGAGCGATTTTGCGCGATCGAATATCATTCGCCGTTGAATGATATTCGACGATTGTGCATTTTTTTAAAATGATATTCGACTTCTTCGTTGGTCTCACCGGAATCCGTTCAATTTGAAATTTCGAATCCACAGCGGGACTTGAATTCGATTTTTGAATTGATGCAATCGATGCCAGAAACTTCATCCATCACCAGAATTTTGTTTTCATTTCTTTCTGTTTTTGTGTTTTTTCAATTCAAGTCTACTGTTTTTGCAATTGGCTGTGTTTTAGAGTTTCGTATCTTCGTATTTTCTTCTTAATTTCATTTAAAAAAAAAAAAAAAAAAAAAAAAGAATTCTGATTGGCCCTTGCTTTCACCGATCATCGGCATCACTCAGCACCGATCAAGTCGTTTGATGAATGATATTCGATCGCAAAAATTAGCTTATTGTTGTCCGTTTGAGATCTATATTCAACGATGAGAACACAATGTCCACAGTTAAAGACGTCAGTAGTTTGAGATAGGTTGAAAGCCAAATTTTCCTTCATTTCCGTGTTATACCACATCAAATACCTATTCCAGAGTTCGGATAGTTGTCCGGCCGATTTCTTTATTCCACGATGCAAGCATTAAGTCTAAAATGGTGAAAGTCAATAGTTTGAGACAGGTGCAAAGTTAAGATTGTCCTCCATTTTCGTGTGATACCATATCACATACCTACTCCGGAGTTCAAATATATGAGCGCTTAATATCTGAATTGAACGATGGGAGCATCAAGATGGAATTTATTCTGGCCATTCTTAATGTGATTATGGCTACTGTTAAAATAATGTTGTTTATTCCCGATGCTACTATAATTGATTTAAACCGAATTATCAAATAAATACCTGCTGTAACTAATGTTGAAGAATGAACACAGAAACAGAAACATCAGTAATTTGAGATAGGTGAAAAGCTAACACCCCCCCCCCCCCCCCCGGGGGCGCCGACAGTTCGCAGGGGCGGCAAAATCTTGGCGGTCTAGGGCCTAAGGGCGGCGATCACGTAAATCCGACCAAGTTGAAGGACCGAAGTTTTTACGTTCTTTCATTGGAAGGAGCTAGTCCTCTGAACCGGATCGTGCCTTTGAAAATGACAGATTTTTACAAGTGAGATTATTTCATTCCTATAGCTGCACCGTCGGTTCATAAAATCAGTCTTCTCCCGCAATTCCGTTCATGCAATCAAATATACAGTTCAGTTCTTACAATCGAAGCCTTTTTGAAAAGATGGTAGAGTTCGGACGTTCGGTTTTATGAATCAATGATGCGGTCATGAGAACTATGAATATGGTTAAGTCGAATTAGTTGGGCCGATACTGAAACTGTAAGAACGCGTTCCTCAGTTGCGGCGTTAGGAAATCCCGATCCTATTTAATTAAGAAGACATGTATCAAACATAACGTGGCTTGAAATTGTTATTTCAACTAAATGAAGTTTAGTAGTTTTCCACGTAAAAGATTGATCATGATAGGAAGACTGCAACGCCGCAAACCATAGAGAGATACAAATTTCTGCAGTTGCACCTTTTGCCATCGATATTTTACAGGCAATTAGCAATCGCCGGCAATTTGAAAGCCATAAATGAATAAATAGAAAAGAATAGATTTCAGAAATGTAGGAACGAGATTAAGGTACTGATTATTTTTCCTTTAAGGAGAGAGGACATTTTTCCTTCCATAAGAGAATGATAGTAGCAGGTAAACTCACGAGAGCGTGTGGTGGAAGCCATGACCTTAGTTGGGCTCAGTTGGGTCACGCAACTAAACTAACACCGTGACAAAGCGCTGAGTATCACAAAAAATGAAGGAGCTCCAAGATGAGATCATGTTTTTGAAGGCCTCAACCCATCATATCAGGCCTTCATTAAGCTGATTCGCATCGAAAACAATGCAAACGCTTGCAAACTGCCGATTGCTAATTGCCGCTAATTGCTTGCGACAGATACACCACAGCAACCTGATTGTCGATGTTTATGTCTGTACGGCAAGAATCGAAAAGTGATATATTACACGGCACAGATAGGGCTGTGTCTTGTTTCATCTTGCCGGCAAAGCCAGTTAAAGTTTCAACAATCAGGCTGTAGTTCCTGTGACTGAATTTGTTTTTTCAGCGCAATCTAGTGTGTTCCATGTTATACATGTTGGAGTTTTTCCTCTGTTTTAGGCGAACTGCAAGCTAGTCCGGACTTCATCGCTTGGGACGAGAACGGAGTGAAGTACGTATGCAGTATCTGTGGCGCCAAGTACAGACAAAAAAGGAACCTCCACTCACACAAGAAAGCACACACCGGCGAAACTTACTGCTCCAAGTGCAATCGCAACTACTCGAATAAGCAGAGCTACCAGATACACATGCTTTTTGTTCACAAAGTAAAAATATAATTCGCTAGAAAAATGCAACGCCGTGGCAACTGTGCTCTCTCCCCTCGCCAAAAAGAGAGTCACAAAGATAGGAAAATTAATACTCCTCTTATTTTTGTAATTTATTTTATTTATTTTTTATGGTTGTATTTATCTTGTACCAACGATTAGCTATATATGTTACTCGTCCAGCTACATAGGTGGCTTGATGTGCCTGCTTCAGCGTGGAATACCACGTTTGGAACAAGCTTACCGTTATCGTAAGCAAGTACAGATAACAGTTATAGTATCTGAGCAAGCAGATAGGAAGGATGAGCTTGTCTTCATCAAATTGTCACAATTACGAGCCATGGCGCAGTGCAGTGTGCCAAACGCATCTGTCTAGGAAGCACCCAATCGAAGCACCTTCAACCATTTGAATAAGCAACTTTGACATCACTCAAGTACGAATAGTTGCGTTCAGGCGTTACACCTCGCGTTACACCTTATCAAATCTTGTACAGCAGAAAACTGTGCAGCTGATACACCCGTAAAAGCACAGTAGGTACAATATTCGCGGAGCGTCTCAAATTCTTACGAAGTCATTGACAGCAATAATATAAATTTTTAAATAAAGGAAGTTTTAAAAAAGATATCCTCCCGGCAACTATCATGGTGAGCCCTCAATACTCACAACATGAAGAACCATTTGTCACCATGAAGTTAGGCACGGAGGGTAAATATTTTATTTCATTGCTGTTTTTGTTTATTTTGCAGCTGAGGATAGAATTGTGAGACCCCAGAATGACCCCTGCGTTTTGCTGTTTGCATAACTGGTACACTCGTTCCCATTTTTCTTTTTATTTTTTCCTTCTCCGTTTTTTTCTTCCTCTGTATGCTCTTATAATAGAGTCGTCTAGAAAGTTAGTTTACCGATGCAATATTTCCTGAACTAAGATATATAGAGACAATGTTACAAAGCCCTCACTCTTAGCTTTCCTACGTAGCGCTATACTAATTTGATTTATGGTTCCATAGAATTCTGAGAAAGCTGGTTTTTCTAGACCCTTGTGAAGAGGAGGTGGGTTCAAAAAACAAGCTTTTTTAGAGTTTCTGAACCAAATTGATATTTTTTAGCGCTATAGAGAGTCGAAAGTAGTGGTTTTTTGACGTTTTTCACAGATTGTCTCTATCTATTTTAGTTTAGGAAATATTGACCAGGTAAACTTATTTTCTGGACAACCCTCGTGACTCACAAAGAACGCTGTCCCCTCGAAGTAGTGGGCTTACGGCTCGATCGTTGGATCGATATCGAATGCAGTGGCGTGGAGTGAATTCCGATGTATCGATTGTTCTGACATTTAAACCTTTGGCAAAGAATCGATTTTTATCGATATATATCGGGTGTTCGCTGCGAACACCCTGTTTATCGATCTTTTTCCATAGGTTTAAATGGCATAACACGCCATGGCAAATGGCAAAGCACGCCACGCCATTAATCGAATTCCCTTAATCGATAAAAAGCATTGCTAAGATAAGGATTTATCGATCTCGAATGCCCTTAATCGATAAAACGCTTTGCTAAGATGAGGATTTATTGATCAGGATCATTCTGTGACAATCCAACAATCGAGCTACTGAGCTAAGTGAGAGCAATGCATTGTGATGTATGGACAAGTTCATTTCGGTAGCTAGATGAGTAACATATGTTTGTAGATGCCTATTGCGATCTTCCATTTTTTTATTTTTGCGTGCTAATATTTTTTTATTCAAATGCCATAATTTGATACTGCCTTATTAACATATTATTTGCTCCATTAGAATAGTCGTCTGTAGTGCAAAGCTTCTGCTTTGCGTATCGTAGATACGTTTATAGTTTCCTTAGAATATGTGCAGGAACCCATTTTTGCGCACATCGTCGCTTTAGGTTGTATTAAAATTATGAAAATTCAGAACTGCCATATTTGATAGTTTTTCCTGGGCTGATAAAGATACGTGATAAGCTTTGCAATGCTAAAATCTTCTGTGTGGAATTGAAGACGTACATGTTTATCATTTTTCTTCCACTGTCGCCTCTAATCCCCTGTTAAATATACCAGGTAATTAAAAAATTTACTCGTGAAATAATTTATATCTTTCCCTTCTAGTCCTGTTTTACTTCCTTTAGAGATTTTTTCGAAGTTAGTATTTTGTTAGTATTGTATTGTTTTACTATTTGACAAATGTAACGTATGTTGCCTTTCCTGTAATGTTTTACTTTCCTCCTGATAGGCATACATACCTTCCTAAAGTTTTAATGTTATCAACCTTAATTCATTTTCATTTCACTCGTGTGTGCTTCCTATTGTAAATTGTCGAAATTGTCTACAAATTGTGGTTTGGACATAAGTTTTCCCTTTTCTAAAAGTTCCTAATTCTGACCCTGCCTCTCGGCTTTTTTCAAGTGACACTGACTTAAATGTATTAGCAACATGTTTTGGCAAAAACTTCACCATCAACACCAAGGAGTATTTATGATTTTGTATTCTGAAAGCAACTTTACGTGAAATTTACATCATATACTCCCTTTTTATTGGAAAAGAAGAGCATTAACTACATGTAGATTTCGTAAAGCTTTGTTTTCATCCAGTATAATTCTTGGGTGTATTTTTAGATGTGCTCAGAGCGCACTAAACTTGTTCAGAATATACCTCGGCTTTTATAAGTTGGACGCATTCAAATCAAAAAGAAACTATATCCATCATGACTAGAGCCCTGTCATGCATGTATTCTTATGGATCTCAAGGCTCATGTCAGAATGGATATAGTTCCTTTTGATTTAAGTGCGGCCAGTTACTGATGGAACAAGGCCTTAAATGATCGATGAAATTAGTTGATATCTTAGCTCAGCTTTAAATCATCAAACAATCAATCATTGCTACACATGTGCTACTTTCATATAATTTACGCCCACTTATCCTAGGAAAATAAAATAATAAAGTAAAGTTTACTTTTGTCTCCCACCTCGATATTTTCCTACAAAAAATGAAACATTTTCTTTTGAAGATGTTGCCTTTTATGAATGCTTAAAACATATCTGTTGTACAAATATGCTCATGGGTTTACTAGGTCTCCTTTTATCCACCACCACGAATCTCAGATCAGCTTATTATTAAAATTTTACTTTCAGAAATTTTACGTTTGTTATTATTTAATTTCACCCCTTGATCCTTCTCACTCCGGCAATGGAGAAGCCAGAAGAGCACTAATATTGCTATGACGGTCTTTTCAAACTTGTATTCGTATTTAATTTTCAAACCAATCGGCAGGCATGACATGAACTTCTACAGAAAATTTTTAACAAGTAAAAAATTAAAGGAACTTGAGACTTTTTTAGCCCTGTCTTGAATGTTTCAGCAAAGAGACGATCGAATCGTCAAATTTCTTAATGTCGCCCTGTTCGGACTGAAAAATGTGCTATATTTCTCAAAAAGTAACCAAGTGGCATCAACCGTTGCCTACTTAATTGCGTTATTGGACGTATTTTTGCTAAAAGGAACTTCGTGCATGTGGGTTGCGTGTAACATAGCTTCTTTTAGTATAAATCGGTCCAATTTACTTGTTCACGAAAGATTTACGTGTGCGTCGTCAAACGTGCCCATGTAATCCTCGAAATCGAAATGTCTCGTGTTTGATGGGTTGTAAAGATTTGATTTATGACTTATATCATAAACACAAATTCGTAATGAGCCAACGTCTAAAATACTCAGCATAGAATTAGGAATTTTATTGAGGTTTCTTTATCGTTTACCACGTAGTTTGAACCGTCGGACATCAGTCGATCAAACAGCGCAGGAATGACACCACGAAATCAGTCTATTTATCTAGATATGTGATCTGATAGCGCACTGATGCCGTCAGTGGCGTGGCCCGTGGCGTGCTTTGCGATTTATCGATTGATATACCATTTAAACCCATGGAAAAGTATCGATAAACGAGGTGTTCGCAACGAACACCTTCATAATCGATTCTTTACCATAGCTTCAAATGGGAAATATCGAAAATCGATCTTCGCGCCTCGCCGCTGATTCTATTCACTCCATAACAAGATTGACGGCCTTTGAGGTATCATATGTATCCAGGAGATAGCTAGCGTTGACCCTGATGACCCTGCCTTTTCGCCGGTAGAAATCAAAGGTCGCCACGACCCGATGTGTCACAGGCCACTTGAAACTCTTGAAATAGGTCCAGCCATCTTGCGCCTTCTTCACTTCGAACTTTTTCAACACCTTGACAGCCTCCTCTAAGTCCCAGAGCCTGAAGGCAAAGAGAAGCCCGTCCTTTCGCTGGGCCATGACGTCAATTCGACCGCGCCACGACCCCGGTCTGTCTCGGTGTTTCACCCGATACTGAATGTCGGGGAATACACTGCGTCGCATGTTGATGAAAGTGAAAAGGGGAGCTGTCAATTGGTCGCCTCGGGTTGGTTGCACGCAGTGGGCCAAGGCTTTGATGGATGACGTCAGCGTTTGGCAACTGCTCTGGAAGCTGTCTTCGGATTGGACGTTGAAATCCTCTAAGGCGTTCAGGTAGGTTTCGATGACGGCTGTGTTTAGGCCCTGTACTGTTGGACCCCTCCGCCTTGCTCTTCGGCGGGGCGTTTCTGTGTCGGAAGCACTGATCTGTAAATGAAGCATCAATTGGACTACATTTTGCAATTAGGAACTATAAATTCGGACTCAGTATAAAAACAACGTATGAACCATCAGTTTCCTTATGCACATACGTGTTTTTTCGGATGAGCCAGAATTTATAGTTCCTAATTGCAAAATTAACAATAAGTCCAATTAGATTATTACACTTCGACGGTGTAAGTCGGCAATCATATAACTCGGTTTGCGACGTCGCAGACTTCCTGTCATGCTTTATTTTTTAAACGGAAAACTACTCAACGGTAATTCTTTGAAACTGCCGTAATTTTTCTTCTCTGTGCGAAGAAACTTCTGAAACTGAACTGAAAAAAAACTTCAGGAATGATGTCAATTTGTTCTCCTTTAAAAAAGTAACATAGATGCGCGGAGATTTTCAGGTACCGCAAACGAAATATTTGATTGCGGGCTGACGCCGTCGATTTAGCTCTGAAGTACTACAATGAGCCATGCGGGCCGATTATTGAAATTTTGTGTTTGTCTAGTGGACATAGATTGAACGGCGGAGCGTGATTGGTCGGCTATGTCTTATCGCTGCTTTGTCGTGCCTTTGTCAGGTGACGCGTATCAAGCTAAATACACCTTTTGAGCTCTCGACAGTATGTCTTCTATTCCACCTGACAAAGACACGACAAAGCAGCGATACGACATAGCCGACCTATCACGCTTCACCGTTTAACATATGTCCACCAGACAAACACATGATTTCAATAATCGGCCCGCTTGCTCAAAACGAAGTCTGCTCATAGCCGAGAAGCACATTAAAGGGAATTTAATCGCCTCCGAATCTTCCGGAAAAAACATGCATGTTTGCTTTTGGACTTACTCGTAACGGAAACCTGCCGTTAACAGAATGAATGTTCCGCACCGTGACTTCCGATCAAAGTTGAAAATTGAAATTGCTAATAGAAAAGTTGACAATGGACCACCAGACAAGGTACGAATTTAAGCAATCTGATACATGTTTCCTGACCAAAATTTCACGTAGAAGACGACTCGCGCAACAAAAATTACTGTAACCAACTCCTAACGAAGATATTAACGTTTTTATTTCACATTGGTCACGAGGAAATTGAACTGCCCGCTCACAAGAAACTCAAAGCTCTACGTGAGTCAAATCGCGCACTACAACGGCTTCAGCAAGCTTCTCAATCGAGCAATGTTCATTTCTCACCATGTGTTGTTTAAACTATAAGCAATTTGCTATCGCTGGGCCAAAGCGTCAAGATTGAGGTTGCCAGATTTTCATCACGCACAGACTGTCATGATAACGTTTAGCGCTCGATGTGAATCACGTAGAGCATTAAGTTTTCGTGAGCGGGTGGTTTAAATTCACGCATCAAGGATCATTAATTATCTTCGTAAGGAGTTGATTTCAGTAATTTTCGTTGTGCACATCGTGGTTTACGTGAAATTTTGGTTAAGAAACATGTATCAGAATGCTGAAATTCGTACCTTGTCTAATGGTCCATCGCTAATATTTAGCAACTTCTTCGTTTCCTGTAATTTTTTTTCTTATCAAAAATTACATCTCTTGAATTGCCGACCGCATTGATCAATCGGGCGTATTTCTGCTAAACGGAACCAGAGACAGTTGGGAAAGAAAGGGTGTGCTTGTTAGTCGATAGCTGTAAGAATGAATGGGAATTATAAAGCGCCAGTGACGTCAGCGGCAACGAAGCCGCCGCAGCCACGGTCGCTCGTGGGTGTCAGACAATTTTTCCTAAATTATTTTTTCCTACATTAAGTTTTCCTAATTTATTTTTCCTACTCGTTCTTTGTCCCATTACTCCTCCTTTAACGCATAAGCCTTGTCCACAACGCTCTTGTCACTTGCCCGCGGTTCACGAGTTCCGCATACAAAGGACCACTAGACAAGGTACGAATATAAGCATTCTGATACATGTTCCTTAACCAGAATTTCACCTAGAACACGATTCGCGCAACGAAAATTATTGAAACCAACTCCAAACGGAGGTATTAACATTTTTATTTCACATTGGTTACGAGGAATTTGAACTGCCCGCTCGCAGGAAACTCAAAGCTCTACGTGAGTCAAAGCGCGCACTACAACGGTTTCAGCAAGCCTCTCAATCGAGCAATGTTCATTTCCCAGCATGTGTTTTTCAAACTATAGGTAATTTGCTATAACTGAGCCAAAGCGTCAAGAGTGAGGTTGCCAGATTTTTTTTTATCGCAGGGACGTTTATGATAACGTTTAGCACGCGATGTGAATCACGTAGAGCATTGAGTTTTAATGAGCGGGTGGTTTGAATTCACGCACCAAGAATCATTGAATATCTTCGAAAGGAGTTGATTTTGGTAATTTTCGTTGTGCGCATCGTGTTTTACGTGAAGTTTTGGTGAAGAAACATTTATCAGAATGCTGAAATTCGTACCTTGTCTGGTGGCCCATTGGCACTTAGTTCCGTTTAGTAGAATGTAAAATCCCACTTTTCCATTTCCCTAAGTTATCCACCTCTCTAGAGGTCAACCTCATCTTTCCTACCCGTCTGTCGTTCCGTTTAACAGCAACACGTCCAATAACACAAACCGATTGCGGTGGACGCACGGGTCATACGACAGTATGTTGGAGTTGTTAAGGCAACGTGCGTTTTAATTCAGCATAAAGATGAAAATCTTAATACAGAAGGGAAAAGCTCATATGAGCACACTTTTCCCTGAAGGAGATATCGACGGTGCAAGTCGGCAATCACATAACTCGTTTGCGGTGTCTGAAAATCTCCGCCTCGATGTTATTTTTTTAAAGGAGAACTAATTGACATCATTCCTTTAAGTTTTTGCAGAATTTTCTTCGCACAATGAAGAAAAATCATGGCAGTTTTAAAGAATTGCCGTTGAATAGTTTTCCGTTTAAAAAATAAAGTATGACAGGAAGTCAGCGACGTCGCAAACCGAGTTATGTGATTGCCGACTTGCACCGTCGATATGCTGCTTGGCGGTGCACTGAGGATTGGCTCAACAAGGCCGATACGCGTCTGCAGTTGCCTTTCTGATGGTTGTAACTAGTGATGCACCAAACAGCATATCTTTTTGAGGGAAAATTGTGCTCATATGAGCTTTTCCCCTCTGTATTAAGATTTTCAGATTTATGCTGAATTTTTTACGAACATTTGCTAAAAAATTCCAACATACTGACGTCCAATTGAACGTATTTCTATCAAACGGAACTACGTGCATTAAGACAAGAGACCTGAAACCCATAAGAATATGTGCATGACAGGGCTCACGTCATAATGCACATAGTTCCGTTTGATAGAGATACGCCCAATTAGTTGCCATTTTGATTCTGAAAATGTATGCTAACTCCGTTCGTCCAGATTTACTACGAATTAATAAAAAGTACTTACCAGAACGGCAATTAATCCAGGCACAAAAAATGAATGTAGAATATTGGGGACCATTTCGAATGCTGAAAAAAGTTGGAATCACTGATCCTAGCATCGAAGAGAATATTTAAACCATCTCAGAGATTATTGAAATAAGTGAAAGATCACTAATGAAGGTAGGGCTTAAATATTGGGATGTTTCTTCCGTGATATTACACTGTCTTTGGAAACGGTATTTAGTCTATTCGTAGATGATGAGGCATTTGATATATTATACCTGGTTTTTGAAACTGATTTTTGAGACATTTGAACTTCAGCACAAAATCTCTTTGTAACAGGGACCTCAAGTAATTCCAACGCCAATTTTTTATTCTTAAATGAATTAAAGTCACATCTATATGAAATGGAAACGAGATCACTAGACCTAATACATGAGCGCAGAGATGCAAGTTTACAGAGGTCATGCAAAGTCTTCCCACGAAAATTTTCATCTTCACTATCACTATCACTATCAGAATCACTGGTCATTCCTATCTGGTTTTTGGTTTCAATTAGGACCAAATCACCTGGGTCTAAGAGGAAATTTAGCACAGCACACACTATGCTTGAAGTAAAAGATGGGTCGCAGGTATTAGCGAGACGCCGAATAAACGGTGATCGTCGAAAGTTGATAACGCCGGATTCTCGTATTTTAATGGCATCCGGAAACTCGATCTATTTAATGGAATCAATGTAGATTAATCGATGTTTGTTTCACCCATAATCGATTATTTTTTATGGTTTTATAAGGGAGAAAAGTTGTCTCACCTAGAATCGATTTTTTTTTAATGGATTTGAATGGAAGGAGAATATGAAAATATCGCTGCCAACCGACGAGGATCGCCTTTACGCCGAATGCATGCATTTAGGGACTAACCCATGATCGAGATATTGCTTAGATATGCCAATATAAAAATTTCAATTTTATACTTTAAGCATCACAGTTTCGGGGAAGAAAGTTCTGTGTTTGAAATGTTCTCTTCAACGATTACGTAACTTTTTTTTGCTTCCTAAATGTCCATTATTACGAAGAGCTATTCCATCGATATTTACAGAAATGAAATTACATTTTTATCGGAATTGAAAAAATACGACGCAGAAATTGAATTAATCGTGTAAAAACAGGACTTGGTATCGATTAAATAAGGACATAAATTAGAATTACTTAATGTGCACACCCTCGGCTGGTAACCCCGTGGGTATTCAAAATAATTTTGTGACTCGAGAAGCATGCATGTCTTCGTGCGTAATTGGACGTATTTCTATCGAACGGAACTATGTGCATCATGACGTGAGCCCTGTTATGCACATATTCTTATGGGTCTCAGGGTTCATGTTTTATTGCACATAATTCCGTTTGATGGAAACACGTCCAATTATAATGAACCTAAATATTTGTTTTGATAGACATCCACGTGTCTCTCTAGTCCTCGTAAAAAAGTTTATCCATATGATAAACCGCGAGATGGAAGGTTTTTGACAGATCAAGATCAGAAAAATGGAATATGAAAAAGACACTCCTGATGTATTTTATTTTTATTAGTAGCCGTAATAATCGTTTCTGTTTTTATGTGGAATCAGTGATTTTGTATGCATTCATATTTTAATCTCTAAATAATACGCACTCTTTTTTTGATCTTGGATTTTTTTTTTTGGGGGGGGGGGTCAGAGCAAAGCACCATTTTAGATTATTTTCATTCAAATGTTAAAAACTACTTAACTTTATTGTTGCAAATTTAAACATACTTATTTACACGAGGAGTTAGAGCTTTCCCGCTTGTTTTTGCTCCTGCAGCTCTTTTCGCCATCTCGACAATTTTGTGGGATTTTATTATTCACTCGATAACAATATCGACGGCCTTAGAGGTATCGTAAGTATCCAGGAGATAGCTAGCGTTAACTCTGATGACCCTGCCTTTTCGGTGCTTGAAATCAATGGTCGCGAGGACCCAATGAGTCACAGGCCACTTGAAACTCTTGAAATAGGTCCAGCCATCTTGCGCCTTCTTCACCTCGAACTTTTTCAACACCTTGACAGCCTCCTCCAAGTCCCAGAGCCTGAAGGCGAAGAGAAGCCCGTCCTTTCGCTGGGCCATGACGTCAATTCGACCGCGCCACGACCCCGGTCTATCTCGGTGTTTCACCCGATACTGAATGTCGGGGAATATACTGCGTCGCATGTTGATGAAAGTGAACAGGGGAGCTGTCAACTGGGCGCTCCGCTTTGGTTGAACGCAGTCGGCCACGGCTTTGATGGATGACGTCAGAGTTTGGCAGCTATCGTGGAAGCTGTCTCTAGATTGGATATCGAAATTCTCTAAGGCGTTCAGGTATGTTTCAATGACGGCTGTGTTTAGGCCTTGCACTTTAGGGCTCTTCCGCCTTGCTCTTTCGCTGGGTTTTGTTGCTGAGGTTTCATCGGACGTTCCTGGGTCGGAGGCACTGATCTGTAAATTGAACATCATTCAACTGTTACTGAGCAGGATGAACCGACCTTCAAAGGATCCATCTTTGGAGGAATGATCTTCCCTTTAATGTTCAGATAATTGGACTTATATTTAGCACAGTGGATCAGGAGGTGCCAATTGCCTGATGATCTTTGGGATGATAGTGGGCAATGGCGATTGGGCGTCGCAGAGCGCGAGGCTGCGCTGTAAAAGTGGCTTTATGTATGTCTTTAGCACAGCGAACCCGGTATTTTTAAATAATAAAACAAAATAAAACTTACATTAACACCTGGTTGCTGGTAGGAGCTGACTAAGTATTACGGAATTAAACCTCTCGCCCCCTCCTCTCATAAATACCGTACGGCTGACTTGGTCCCAACCCCTGATTTTTCAGCAAATAATGGAGCAATCCTGAATAATATTCAACAAAAATTATCTTTATCAGAAAATGTTTTTTTTAAAATTTTTATTATTACTTTTTTTAAGTGGGAGGGTCGCGTGAGACTGGACCTCCTCCTCGCCTCCCCCTCCCCATTTCCCCTCAGAACACCCCGTAAGCTAAGCTGAGATTTCTTCCAGACTTAATACTTGAGTAATATCCATTTTTTTTTTTTTTTTTTTTTTTTTTTTTTTTTTTTTTTTTTTTTTTTTTTTTTTTTTTTTTNTTTTTTTTTTTTTTTTTTTTTTTTGGGGGGGGAGGGTAAAGCCAATAAAAAAATAATTGAAAATCAACTCTCGAAAATTTTACTGCATTTAACATATCTTCTATCAAATATTGTATGACAGTTCCAAAGGATGACGTTCATTAGTTCTTCTTAGAAAATTAAACAGCAACGGAAATTACGAAACGTCGCAAACGAAGTATGTTTTTTTTTTTAGATTCTCCTCATCACTCTATCAGTCAAAACTCTTATTTTTATCTAATTTCCCTTTACGTCTACATACACATACAAGTCAAAAACTTAACCCGAAACACTCACCAAGACAGCGATTAGTCCAAGCACTAAAGATAAGTTTAGAATATTGAGTATCATTGTCGTCTCTGAAGGAGTGAAACAAAGTTAACTAATCTCAGCATCTAGGTGCACATCGGAACTTTCACAAGAAATTTATATGGGCTGAGGATTCAAGGCAATTATCAATAACAGTATGCCTTGAATGTGTGGACACTCTTGTTCCATGATTTTTCCCTATAGTATTTCTGTTTGATGTAGTTGCAGATGAGATCTTAGATGAACGACTGGACGAATTAGTCTTAGGAGGAATCGAATTTAAGAAATTCCACTTTTATCAACTCAAGTATTTGTCTCTGACACCTTGAGCAGTGCTGATGTAATTTCTTCATTGACTAATAAATTAAGGTCACGACTGAATGATTTGGAAGAGAATTACCAGGTCTTAACAAGAGTAGAAACGTATGCCCAATTGCCCACAAAGTTCATGAATTCTTACTCCCATCTCCTACATTACCACACTTTTTGCGCCAGAAACTTCGAGTAATATTAATGCCAGCTCTTTATTTACAAATAAACTGAATTTACTTTTGAATGATTTCGTGAGAGAATCAGACGTCACTAACGAACGAAGAGATGAAAGTTCACAGAGTTCATGCAAGGTCTGGATTTGTTTATCCTCATTTTTACGATCATAATAACTGACTGTCCCGAGGTATTGCACGTCATCATCCAAGTTTTTTGTGAAGTTTTTCATGGCGCACGTCTAGTCTGAAGTGACAGATTAGTTACAAAACGATTCAATCGATTCAAAATGGGTCACAAAACTGCTTCGGTGAGATGTGAAACGCACCCAGCATCTGTAATTTTTGCAAGTTAACTCTGGTTTTCCTCCTTTTAAATCCATTTTTATAAATAGTCAATTCGTGATAAAACACCCTCACCATAAATATTAATCGTTCCCCGTATGTTTCGCCGTTTTTCAAATGGAAGAACGTACCTCCAATCTGAGGTTTTAAAATTGATCGAAAAAATTAATTTCCTCACAAGAATATGACCGCACAACAGCTACTAATTTCATTTTTGATTTTTGCCTCCGATCAGAGTAAATATCAGTGAAACTCTTAGTTCGAAATATCCAATGCTATGCTGGTAAAGATAAAAATTGTGGCAGGAACTTTTGCAACTATGGAATGCAGTTACGTTTTTTCCACTTCGGGAAGCGACGATTTCAGTGAACGAGACCCAGTATTGCCAATTTAGGAGAGCCTCCACCGTACCCCACTTTCGACCTAAATGTTAAAAATAGGACGCAATTTGGATGCTAAAACATTTGCCGATTTAATGTTTTCTACCTCACTACCTCTGATGCACGAGTATTTGTATCGCACAAGATGTTTCGTCATCATCAGGATTGTGCAGGTCCCTGCTGAAGATCTGCGTCTCTGAAAGTATACCTTTCTTCCAGAAATTTAGACTTGGCAAACTTGCATGAGCGCGCATGTATTTAATGCACCAAATTAATGATCTGAGTCCCGATTGTCTTGATATACAATCTGATATGACTGATTATAGAGGTGTTTGTTTTATCTATTACAAAAAATTAGATTCGTGCTTTGCCGGGGAACATACCGTTAATGCACGATGAAAACACCTCGATCGTGATAAAGAACCGACAAGTTGAGAAGTCGTTTTTTACTTAGAGCTTACTTTAGAACCGAATTTTCACCTTCAAATAAGGACTGTACAGCTGACGGAATCGTATTTTGGGTTTGTGAACAGAACTGAAGATTCAGTCTGAACCGAATAACTTCGGTTGACGCGGACATTACCTAAATCGACCCTGAGACTGTAAAAACGCGTATCTGGGTTTGCGTTGTTGCAGACGCCTTGTCATAATTCATTTTTTTAACGGGAAAACACTCAACAACTTCCTTGAAAACTTCCTTGATTTTTCTTCTCTATGAGAAGAGTATTCTAGGAAGCTTTTAAGCAATGGTTTTTACCCGTTCTCCTGTGATGAAGTAAAATGGAACCTAGCAAACAAGATACGCGTTTTTGAAACTCTGCCGTCGATACTGGCATGGAACGATGATTTTTCGCTCGGTGAAATAATACATCACATCCGCACGCCATCGCCGCGGTGGACTGATTATTGAAATTGATAGACAAAGCTATAGACAAGGAAGACGAACGGAATATAGAGGGATCCTATTCGTGGATGCGCTTTGCTGCCATGAGCAGAGGAGGAAATTAATAGACTAATGTTAACTCACGAGTGACCCTATGGATATATTTCATAATTTCCTCCTTAGTCTATAGTAACGACCCGTTTCAACCAATGTAAAATCCCTCCGTTTGCCCTTTGTCTATAGCTTTGTCCATCAATTTCAATCATTAGCCCGCTGCATTCATCAGTGTTTAAAACCGAGCTATTTGTCGCCATTTTTTGCCGCTTTGCTTTTTGTGCCTGAACTAATCATATTTTCATTCTGTTTCAGACATGTACTACGTCGACTGTGATAATAAGTTTGTCTGTACGCTGTGTGGTAGTCGCTACAAGCAAAGGCGGAACTTGATCTCGCACAGGAAAGCGCACACCGGAGAGACGTTTTGCTTTTACTGCAGTAAAAATTACTCAAACATGCAGCATTACACCGAGCACATGTTGATGGTTCACAATAAGATTGTGAATAAATTGCAACTGCAAACGCAAAAGAATAAGACTGTTTTACAATAATATCGCGAATACACTGTAACCAAGGCTCGTGAAACCTGGAGAAGTTCCTAATGCTTGATTTCTCTCTCTCTCTCTCTCTCTCCCCCCCTCTCTCTCTCTCTCTCTTTTCTTTTTTTCCAATTAGCAAGTCCTGGAAGTTGGTTTCTTTTTAAGTGTTTCAAAAAAATTTTACACCATTATGTTCATCACGACCCTTCAGATAATTTGTCTAATTTTCCTTGGTATGGAGCGCTTGAAAAAATATATGAAATAGATGCTGATATTCCTCTTACCCTCATATGAAGGGAGTGAAGAATGGAGGGGAAGCAATAGAAATTAACGTTCATTTCAAAGCACCTTCCAGGGTGTTAAATTTTTTTCCTTTACATTTTTCAAGCATTCAAACTTTTGCTTTTTAAAAGAAATCCTTAATTTCACTAGTTGAAAATTTTTGGAAAGTCATTAATTTTCTTTTTGAAAAACTATAATGAGCATTGGTAGCCTGTCACCCTTGATGAACAGTGTTTTTTGTTAAATAAAGCAGAATCTTTAAAGAGAAAAAAACGAGAAAGAAATACAGTGTTAGACGACTGACGTTTCTTTTTGAAATTAATGAAAATCGAAGAATGTTCATGCGAAAGTTTGAACCATACTATACTGGACTGTGCGTTATTTTTACAAAAATATCTCTTTCTGTACATTCATCATAAATAAAACTAAGTTTTCATTCAGAAAGGGGGAAAGAAAAAAAAGAACAAGGAAAAATTCTTGAAGGAACTTGTAGATTTTTCTCCCCCAATGATTCTTGTTGCTTCGTTGATAACAATCTACAGAAACTTACCATCACACCTGTCCTAAGAAAAAGACCTAGCCCGCCCAATTCGATTAATGTGTCCAAGAAAAAAAATTCTCAAAGCTGTATCTTTCTCTTTTGTGAGTTATTAGATTTTCAACTCTTAATAAATTAGTTTAAATTTTTCCTTCTTTGTTTTATTTTTTTAACTGAAAAATCTACTTGGAAAATCATCGAGTTCTTCCAGTTTAAAGAAGGGAAAGGACCTCTTGAAATCCTCTCTCTTCTGTGAGTATTTACATGTTATCTTCATTTTTAAATTTCACTGGGTTTTCTTTCTCTGTTAATTGAATGCATCGAAGAAATTTCTGGTTCTTCCAACTTCAAAGTCTCGAAGAAATTTCTGGTTCTTCCAACTTCAAACATGTGTCAAGAAAGCAGCTCCAAATATTTCTTCCTCTGTAAGTGTTTCAAAATAAAAGAAAACATTACGCCACAGAACGTCTTACCTGAAATTATTTTTTCTCCAATTTGAATTTTTCAACTAGCGAATGATAAATCGATCAATCAAACGCCTTTCGACATTAATCGATTGTTAAAATTTCGATTAACCTACACATCGAGTGTTTTTTACCGATAAATCGAAAAGTAAAAACCTGGTCAGTATCCGGGTCAAATCTTCTTAAAATTAGGTCAAAATCTCGAAAAACAATTTCAGCTAACAACAAACACTGGGGTGGTAATATTGTACGGATAATCTGGATTTCAGGAGAAAATACGGGAAAAATTGTGCTGTGATTTGCTAAATTATCGAAATGTTCAGCGCACGTAATTTTCGATTCTCAAATACAGCACAATCACTGATTTACCCCTGAAATGCCCGGCGCTACCGGGCATCCCAGGGTACAAGTTGTTATTTTGAAAATTTGCCGTTTCAAAATATGCACACTCATAATAGATTTTGATTCGTTTAGATTATTAATCGATTACTGAGTATCCGAAAATTCGGTTCGCCGATTAATCAACTAATCGAAAAATTTTAATATCCAACCCCTCGCTGAGATGGACAATTTCATGAAAAATGAGGATTTTAAATTTCACGGTGAAATGTCATGAAATTTTCCCCCTGAATCTAAATTTTTTACATCGAATTGAAATGTTTCTGGATCGCTGAAAATAACCACAGAATTTTAGCCTAGTTTGGAAAATGTCATGAAAACGAGGCTTTCAATTTTCGCGGTAAAATTTCATGTCATTTTCCAGTGAGTCTGTTTCCTTAATTACGTTTTAAAATACGTCTGAGTTTCTAAAAATAGCCAGAAACTCTCAGGCCATTTCGGAAAATTTCATGAAATTTTCCCGTGATCTCTATTCTTAAGAATGATTTAAAATATTTCTGAATTTCTGAGGGCCGTTAAAACATTTCAGGCTATTTTTGGAAATGTCATGAAATTTTCCCGTGATCTGTATTCTTAATAATGAATTGAAATTTTTCTGAATTTCTGAATACAGCTAGAAAAGTTTAGGCCATATTTGAACATTTCTTAAAATTTTCCCGTGATTTTTTTTTTCTTTTTTAAAAAAGAATTGAAATGTGTCTGAATTTTTAAATATAGCAGACTATATCTAGAAATTTCACGACATTTTTCCTTGTGATTCTTTTTTATTTTTTTTTAAATAAAGAATTGAAAAAGTCTTAATTTTTAAAAATAGCATACTATATCTAGAAAGTTCATGACATTTTTCCTCCGTGATTTTTTTCTTTTTTTTTCTAAGTAATGAATCAAAATATTTCTAAATATTTCAAGCCTTTTTTCGTGAAACTTCAAGGACGATCTCAGCAGGCACGAGCTCATGAAATAACTAAAATTCACACGAAAAAACGGCAAAAAACTGGCGTACTGCAGTCTGCAGTGCCGAT